TTACCATTTCTTGTAAGGTTAGTTTAATGTCCTGAATTCTTTTAACTCTGTTTCTTTGGGAAACTCTATCTCTCCCTCTATTCTGAGTGATAGTTTTGCTGGATAGAATATTCTTGGCTGCAGATTTTTTCCTGTTAGCACTTTGAATACATCATGGCACTCCTTTCCATATAGGGTCATAGTTCTTACAGAAGCCAGCTCTATGCTACACTCACTTTTCTTCTTCAGGAGAGTCTAATTTCTCTTAACATTTATAGTAATGTCTTCTACATCTGTCCATCCCAGTGTCTGCTCGAACACAGCCTGCTCACTGTGGGCTTATTTTTCTCAAATGCAATTTCCCTCTGAAGTCTGTCTGCTTTTCACTAGCACTACTATCATCCCAATCAAACAGACTCAAAATCTCATATTTTCTTCAATTCTGTTTTTCTTCTTCCATTTGAAACCTAGGAATCAATAAGCAACCAAGCCCTGCCAATTCTCCTATGTCTACTGCATCGATTTATTGGGTTCCCTCTTTGTGACGGGCACTGGAGATACAAAGATAAGTAAGACACACCATGCAGCCACAGAGCTCACAATCGAGGGTCCCTTCCTTGATATTTTTATAGCGATCACTGATGTTCTAGTTGTTCGTCATTTTATAGTACCTTTCTACAGTCAGCCCTTGACTGCTCTGTCTTTCTTCAGTCTAATCACTCCCTTCTAAGACTCCAATCCACATACCATTTTTCTGACCAGATACATTCCCTAAAATAATAAATTCATCATGTAATACACTTGAGGGGAATATCTCCCAGGGTTCTGGTATCTACAGGAAATCTGTGGACTCTAGTCAGATCATCAGAACTCTGTGTGTCTCAGGCTCACCCCTATCTACCCGCAGGTCTTCCCTTTAACCCAAGTACCCTTCAGTACATGTTTCCTGCTCCAGTGAAGCTGGTCCTGAAACTGACTGACTGGGCCCCATCACCCCTTCCTTTCTACTCATCCTCCAAGTCACAGTTCAGATCCTATCTCTTTCCACAAAACGTTTCAAGAAGTTTTATTTCCCACCCTGACCGTGCATTGATATATTACAGTATTTGTATAAATCACTTATTTGGACACTAAATTATAAGTATTCATAGTTTTATTTTTTGTCTTTCCAAACTGACTACAATTTCTTTGAGGTTTGTAAGAAAACCTTGTATTTTTCTTGTGTACTTCAAGGCGTCCATTCATTTGAAATATATTCATTGAGGTTCTACTTTTGTGCCCTGCACTATACCAGACTGAGGGGTTCTACTGTGCTTTAACATAGTAAAACCATAAACAGATATTTGTTGATAAACAAAATTCAACTTCCTGCTAGCAAGTGGTATTTATTTAAGGAAAATAACTCTTAAAAGCGGTTTTATTTTTAGATCATGTGGCCAAAGGAGTTCCTATAATTTCCCAATAGCCCCTCAGCGTCAACTGTGGGGAGTTTCAACAATCAGGCCAGGGATGGATTTAGAATATACTCACTTGCTCATTTTCAGCAGAATTTAATGCATCTTTTGTAATTCCTGTTAAAAGGATATGATCACCTTTTAAGGGGTCACATTTTGCTCTTCTTCAACTTGGTATAAAGTGCTCACATAAAGAAAATGGAGAATTTGCCATCTTTAATAATAGGAGATGTTTCTACACTACCAGTTTTATAAATAAGCCAGAAACTGCCCAGATTTAGCCAGCTGTATTAGTAAAAATTTAGGGAAGTAGGGAGTTTATTATTATTTAATTGCACAGACTTCTGTTGAGGGTGTACACCATTTAGTTCACAAATATGCCCATAAAAAGAACATTCTAATATAATAAATATTCAAGTCAATAAATAAATGTCACCATGACTGTTCTCTTCCATGACAACAAACAATAAGTGTTATAGTCCCAGATATTTACTGAAATTGGCCCTGGAGGGATAGATAGGCCATGGTAATCATCGTGGTTACTGATGTATTTTTTATACTGAGATGGTACTAAGGAGAAAATGGCTATTCTCTCTGCATATCATCCATCTCTATGGCTTTTAAAAATTTTTTTATTTTTCTCAGTGTTCCAAGATTCATTATTTATGCACCACACTCAGTACTCCATGCAGTACGTGCCCTCCTTAATACCAACCACCAGGGTCACTCAACCTCCCACGCCCTTCCCCTCCAAAACCCTCAATTTGTTTCTCAGAGTCCACAGTCTCTCATGGTATGTCTCCCCCTCCGATTTCTCCCAATTCACTTTTCCTTTCCTTCTATGCAGCATAATTTGCAGCATTGACTCTCAAGCAGCTTTGGATTTGTGATTTTTATCACAAAAAGAAAGGAAAAAAATGGAAAAAAGGAAAGAAAAAACCTTAAAGAGTTTTGTATTTTTTTTTTAATTGAACCAGACGCTGTGTGAACATTTGCAGAGATCAGGTAAGGCTGAGAAGGAGGTTACCTTCTTCAAGAGAGGATCTGCTTTTGCTTCTATCAGACATCTGGGCTTATGGTGGATCTGAATCCAATTGAGGATGGAAATGATTCAAATCTGCGCTTTACTCATTTAGAGAACTCATCTTTTCTAGGGATTGCTGGAAGCTCTGCTCAGCCTCTCGCCTATCAGGCCATGCTTTTGCATTCAGCAAGTTTCTTGTGAGAAAAGGCACCCTCAAATGCAGGGCTCACCCCCCTTGGCTTCCTTCTTCTTCTGGATTTTAATCCTGAAAATTCTCCCTGCCTTGGTAGTTTGCCAGTGCCCCCAAACAGTACACTTTGCTTAGTAGATTTTGCTTACTTAGTATACTTTGTTTTCCTTGTATTATTTGCAGGAGGTCTGAGCTAAGGCGATTTCACAGCCGGAAGGAGAAGATCCTTTAACCCTACTCCAGTGATTGGCGTCACAACACATTACGCTTTCTAGCTGATTATCTTGGACTAGTCTTTAGTAGCTCAATACTTCAGTATCTCCCTCTTCCTCTTTTTCTCTCTTCTGCACATGTAGAAAAGCCTCTCTAAACCAGACTCTTTGGCCACTTGTTGACCCTGGGATCATTTAAGTTACAACTGCCTATGCAACTTTCTACTCAGTCTCCCGGTCACAGGGATCTCTCAAGTCTAGTCATGAGTGGGACTGTGTCTTAGTCCATCTGAGCTGCCATAACAGAACAGTATTGACCGGGAGCGCTATAAACAACAGTTTATTTTCTGCAGGCTGGGAAGCCCAAGATCAAGGTGCCGACTGATTAGGTGTCTGGTGAGAGCCTGCTTTCTGGAGCTTAGATGGCACTCTCTTGCTGTGTCCTTACATAGTGGAAGGGGCACGAGGGGAGTCTGGGATCTCTTACAAGGTTATCAGTCTCATTCATGAGGGCTCAGCCCTCATAACATACTCACCTCTCAAAGTCTCCACCTCTGAACACCAGCCCATTGGAAATTAGGTTTTGAATTTATGACTTCTGAGGGAAAACATTACATCTATGTCAGACTATGTACATAAAATATCCTGGAAATTAAATACAAAAGAATCCCTTTTCTTGCTCCTCACCCTAAAAGGTCAGTTAGGAAAGATGCCTAATAGTATCCTATAGGGAGTTAACATATCCATGAGTCTACTTGACAGAGGGAAAATTCTCACTGTGAACTCTAACACAGTCAGGAGGTTCCTCTTTCACTCACTGGGATCCAGACCAAACCCCTCTCAAACTGGCAGCAGAATTAAAAGGCAGCTGGTCCCATGACCAGAGCATAAAGTGACTGAAAGTGGGACAGGCAGAGCCACAGCAGCACAGTGTAAATCAGAGCTCCTTCCCATAGGAAAGAAACACAAGGAGCAGATTCTTCTTAGATACTCTCCCGGGATAGCAGGCTCTTTAAGAAGGTCTTCAAATGAAACAAGATGGGATTGGGAGGGAGACAAACCATAAGTGACTCAATCTCACAAAACAAACTATGGGTTGCTAGGGGGAGGGGGGGTGGGGGGGGGGGGTGGGGATATGGACATTGGGGAGGGCATGTGCTATGGTGAGTGCTGTGAAGTGTGTAAACCTGGCGATTCACAGACCTGTACCCCTGGGGATAAAAATACATTATATGTTTATAAAAAATAAAAAATTTAAAAAAAATAAATAAATAAAAAATAAAATCTGAAAAAAAAGAAGGTCTTCAAAAGACTTAAGGCTTAAGGTCTGAAAATCTGAACCAGTAAAGATAAAAACATATTTCTGGACTGTAACATCATAAAATAACTCGGCACTGGACAAAACCTGTGTTGCATGCCTAGCAAAGAATGAGAACACGGGCCAAGAGAAGCAGAGCAGCGTAGACCACGCAAGCGCAGAGACAAGCACACGGTGTGTCCCACTGTACTATATGACTGGGAGTAAGGGGTCCCTGAAAAGTTTCCATGCACCCCTGTAGCACAGTGTTGGGACACAATTTCTTTCTGTCCAGGTGGGCCCCATATTATGCAAGGACAGGACAGCTCTATAATCATTAACTCATAACCTGGGCTTGTCAGGCTGGTGACTCCCCCCAGATTATTAGCTGTAGCCAACTCCCACGCTTGAATGTGGCTGCTGTTTAAAAGCCAACAAGGAACACCGGGAGGGAAAACACAGGAAGGAACAGTTTTTGTTCAGAAGCAATGGGATCTTGGATGACATTTTCTCTCTATGTTTTCCAAACAGTCCCAAACTCAATCATATTTTATTTACAAAATTAATAAACAACAAATACAAATGGTATAAAGAAGCAATGTCCTCTAAAATTTCCTTTTTCAACTTAAGATTTTTGTAATGAATCCCAATAGCTGAATTAAATTTCTATATAAGAGATGGGGATGGAGTGCCATGTGCTTCAGGAGGGGGTCTGAGGATAAAATCGATCTGATTGTGAACTGGCCCCTTCTATTTTCCTTCAAACAACATGTTATTTCCCATGCAAAGCCCAAATACACAAGACATCTTTAAATCTCATAATACTTATGAAAAAATTCTTTACCTAAAATTCTCATATTCTTCTTCTCGTCGTTTCCATGGACAGCTCTGTATATTTCTGATAATCTGAAGATAGTCACTCTCTAAATACCTAAAAGTGAAATGTCAGCAAAATTAGAAAACAGAGATCCCATATATTGCTAAACACACATGTAAGTGTCCTAAAGGGCATTTTGACAATCTGCTCATTTTAGCTCTCTAAATCTTTTGTGAAATAAGGTAATGTAGAAATAAGTTAATATCATACCCATTTATGTTCCTCTAGGAACATAAATTTGGAAAGAATTATTATGTTGCTTTAGAAACATGTGATTTGCACATATCATAAGTCAAGTCTAGTATTACAAATAAACCATGACAGCACCTCAATTTCCATTCATATCTTATAACCATTTCATTTCGCTATAACTCACTGACAAATATATTTTATAGATGTTTACCATAAATATATAGTTTATTATTTTGTATACTCTAAGTTGATTGATTTATGTTGGGAAATACAGATAAAATTTCTCTAAAATAATCATCTTAAATTTTAATTCTGAATAGTACACTAAAAAAAAACAGATTAAGCTCAGTTAAGAGAGATGTATATATAGTGGCATAAAAAATTCTATAGGCTCAGCAATACAGTTTCATAGGATCGCAGTCCCCAGTAAATCTCCTTCTACCTGAAATTTCATTAGTAAGTATTAATTCCTTTAATCATAGAAAAGCCGTTAGTCTTGGAGGGTTATCATTTTAATACAAATGTTGAGGCCCGTGGATGGCTGAGTTGGTTAAGCATCTGCCTGCCTTCAGCTCAGGTCATGATCCCAGGGTCCTGGGACTGAGTCCTACATAGGGCTCCCTGCTCAGTGGGGTGTCTGCTTTTCCCTCCTCCGCTGCTCCTCACCCCCAAAGTTTGTGATTTGATCTCTCTCAGATACATAAAATAGTTTTTAAAAATTTTAAAAATAATAAGAAATAAACTGAAATACAAGGACCCTTTGTGTGGGGAAAAAAAACCCTTAAATTTTCTTTAAATTAATATCTGAGTCATTAGTTGTCTACCACTTGAGATGAAGGCTCTGCATTACAGATGCAATATGTCTGGTGGGTGGAGAAGGGAGAGGGCCATGAAAAATCCTGTCAGAAACCACTCCCCACCCCTAGGGGCACCTGGGTGGTTCAGTGGGTTAAGCCTCTGCCTTTGGCTTAGGCCATGATCTCAGGGTCCTGGGATCAAGCCCCGCATCAGGCTTCTGCTCAGAGGGGAGCCTGCTTCCCCCTCTCTCTCTGCCTGCATCTGCCTACTTATGATCTCCCTCTCTGTCAAATAAATAAATAAAATCTTAAAAAAGAAAAGAAAAGAAGCCACTCCCCCGTCTCCATCCAGCAAAATGCAGGGCCTCCAAACCTTCACTCTGGAAGAGGTATTTGTTATAGGTGGGCAAGGTCATCAATCAAGCAACTCCTCTCCCTCTGAAGCTTACCTTTCTTTTGGGTATCTCTGTCTTTAATGATGCTGCCAAAAATAAAAAAAATACATATATTTTTTCCCTTGGCTGGTGTTGGCCCGGCTAAGAAAATCTGAAAATCTTGAAAGACTGTTTTTTAATAAAGGAGAAGCAAGCAAAAAAAAATCACAGGAGAAGCTAAAAATAGTTTTACTCATATACAGGCTTCCAACCTTAACAGATTTACCTCATTCCCATGGGTCCTGAGACTTGTCTTAGCATGCCAGGGAGCCTGAGAGATCTATATATTCTATCCCCAAAGCTTTGTCTAAATGTGACACTTCCTAGCTGGAGTAAATATTACCTGTCTCCAGTAGGAGAAACCCAGAGACTCTATAAGACAGTGTTAAGCTCAGGGAAAAAAGAATAAAAAAGAAAGAAAGAAAGAAAGAAAGAAAGAAAAAGAAATACACATTCAGAAAGCTACCTAAGGCTCTCTCAATTTCTGCTCTTCAGCAGAATTATGACATGGTGCCTGTGCTCTCCTATCTGTAGAGTCTTATCTCCACCATGGCATGGTTTTTAGTCATTTCATCATATTTAAAACAGGATACTCTGTGTACCACAGTCTATCGGGCAAAGTAACAAAAGAATTGCTACCTCACAAAGCTCAATGAAAAAGAGATCGAAAAAAGAGAAGCCAAATACAAATTCTTCTCATTAAATCAATGAGAATTGTAACAGTATTTGAAGTCTTCAGGATAAAACACAACATAAAAAGTACAGTAAGTATGAAATTACTATCATCTCCCAAAAACAAAATGTGTCAGAGTTTGAAGTTTTCTTTAAATGCCACTTACTAGGCAGAAAAGGATTAAATTTCTCATGATATATAGCTAAGATAGATTAGTACAGAAAGAGAAGTAGAGACAGAGAAGTAGAAACTTTTGAAAATGAGACATGAAAGAAGAGATTGAGTGTAAAAGTTACAATCACAAAGCTGTGAGACAATCCTGAATGCCCTAATATATGAAAAAATTTGAACATAGAAAGAAAAGACTTTTTCAGAAAATTATGGTAGCAAATTTTCCAAATGAGAACTATAAACCCACAAATCCAAAAAGCTCAACAAACTGAAAATACAAGAGATGTTTAGGAGAAAAAAAAAAAAAGACTAGGGATGCCTGGGTAACTCAGTCAGTTAAGCACCTGGACTCATGATTTTTGCTCAGGTCATAATCTCAGGGTGGGGAGATCAAGCCCCGAATAGAACTCCATGTTCAGTGGGGAGTCTGCTTGAGGATTTCTCTCCCTCTCCCTCTTCCTCTGTACCCCCTACTTGTGCAAGTCTGCTCTCTAAATACATACATAAATAAATATTTTAAAAAACTAATCAAGACAAACAATAATAAAATTTCTTTAAGCCAGTGATAAAGAGAAAATCTTAAAAGTAGTTAGAGAAAAGAGGGGTGCCTGGTGGCTAAGTCAGTTAAGTGTCTGATCTTAGGCTCAAGTCATGATCCCGGGATCCTGGGATCAAGCCCCACGTAGGGCTCCCTGCTAAGTAGGGAGTCCGTTTTTCCCTCTCCCTCTGCCCTCCCCACCCAGCTCATGTTCACTCTTTCTCTCTCTCTCTCTCCCAAATAAATAAATCTTCTAAAAAAAAGTAGAGAAAAGAAACATATTACATACATAGAAACAAAGCAAGATTATGTTAGACTTGTCAGAAACAATGGAAATCAGAAGATACGATTAAAATAAAGAACATCATTTAGGGGATTGTCAGCCTAGATTTCTACAGTCATCAAACCTTTCAAAAAATGAGGGTAAACAGGAACTTTTTCAGACATACAAAGGCTGAAAGGATTCATACCAGCCAACCTGCAGTAGAAGGAATGCTAACAGAGTCCTTTAGATGGAAGAAAAAGGAAACCAAAGTACATCTGGCTAGATACAAAATAATGAACACTAGAAGTGGTAAATATGTAAATATACAAAATAACTTTTCTTTTTTTTTTCTACATCTCAAATAAATAATTGACTGTTTAAAGTAAGTATAATAATAATATATTGGGGAGTTTATAGCATATGTAGAAATCAATGCCTGACAACCATAGAACAAAGGCCAGAGAGGAGAATGATATAAATCACTTTGAAAGCAGATTGTGATGACAAGAAGACATATACAGTTGACCTTTAAACAACACAGGGGTTAGTGGTCTTGACCCCCTGTGCAGTCAAAAATCTATATATAACTTTTGACTCTGAAAAAATTTAATTACCAATAGGCTACTATTGACCAGAAACTTCACCAATAACATAAATAGCCAATTAGCATATATTTTGTATGTCAACTTATATGTATGATATACTGTATTCTTACAATAAGGTAAGCTAGAGAAAAGACACAGTTATTCAGAAGTCATAAGGAAGAGAAAATACATTTACAGTACTTTAAAAAAAACCCACGTATAAGTGGACCCATGCAGTTCAAACCCATTTTGTTTAAGGCAAAACTGTACTGCTCACTTAAAGCAATTAGTAAAAACAAAGCCATAAAGAGTGAGGATGTAACCATAAAATGCTCATTCAAAAGAAGGGTGGAGCCATTTGCCACGATGTGGATGGAACTAGAGGGTATCATCCTTAGCGAAGTAAGTCAATCGGAGAAAGACAACTATCATATGATCTCCCTGATATGAGGAAGTGGAGATGCAACATGGGGGGTTAAGGGGGTAGGAGAAGAATAAATGAAACAAGATGGGATTGGGAGGGAGACAAACCATAAGTGACTCGTAGTCTCACGAAACAAACGGAGGGTTGCTGAGGGGAGGGGGGTTGGGAGAGGGGGGTGGGGTTATGGACAATTGGGGAGGGTATGTGCTGGGGTGAGTGCTGTGAAGTTTATAAACCTGGCGATTCACAGACTTGTACCCCTGGGGATAAAAATATATTATATGTTTATAAAAAATAAAAATAAAAAATAAATTAAAAAAAAAGAAGGGTAGAAAAGGAAAAGGAACAAAGAGCAGGCAAACAGAAAACAAATAACACAATGGTAGATTTAAACCCAGCCAAATGAATAATCTCATTAAGTGTAAATAATGTAAACATACAAAAGGCAGAGAATGTTACCTTGGATTTTAAATAAGCAGGAACCAATCACATATTATTTACAAAATAAGCATTTCATATGTGTAAACAGGTTAAAAGTAAAAAGGTGAGAAGAGATATACCATAGTAGAACTAATTAATACAAAGCTATACTGTCTATACTCATATCAGACTAAGTAGTTTTCTGAGCAAGAAATATTACCATGAAAAAAATAGGGTATGAGCAGGAATTGATAAGAGAAAGAAATGAATGAAATCAAAAGCTGTTTTGTTTTAAAAATAAAGTTGACAAACTTACTGTCACATTGCTCAGGTGAAAAACAGACACAAATGACCAAGATGAGAACAATGTTGGAGACTGCAACACTGCAGTCCTACAGACATAAAAGGATAATAACAACTTTATGCCAAAAATTTTGACAACTTAGACACAATGGACATACTTCTTGAAAGACACAAACTACAAAAACTTGCTCAAGAAGAAATAGAGGTCAGAATCAGAGGGAGATGTAAGTAACCACAGAAAAGTGTTCGGAGA